ATGACAGAGGTGGGAAGTGAGGGTTCAACAAGCTTTCAGATGGCCAAAAACAAGTGTGTGGTTGAAATCAATCGATGAGGAAAACAACTTTTAATCGGTCCTCAAATGTTGAGGCCAGGGAGATGTTGAACATCATCAGTGAGTCCCAGGAAAAATGGTGGAGAGCACTTTGGTTCGAATACTTGGCACCTCACTCAGTTGCGGCTGGCTGGACCAACCCAAACCTAACCTGGGAACATGGCCAGCTGCCAGCTCAAACTGTTCAACGAGGACAGATTGTTTCCTATTTCCTACTTTGACCCACTGATTGCAGTGCTCCTGAGGGCTTTTGGAACGTCATTGACTGGCTGTCCTTGTTTTGTGCTTTCGCAGTGCTTGGGACTTACATTCGCATGGAGTTGGAAGACACTTGGCTGAAAGCTTGACTGTGGAGATGTGTATGTCGGTCTCTTGCAAAGCGGAGCTCCCTTGACCACAACTGCCTGGAGGTAGGTACAGGGACCACCAATAAGCCGCTTTCCTCCGCTCGACTGAGGCCGGCACGGCGTCAGAGGTGATGAGTGCAGTGCCATTGCTGACCGCTGAGAATAGCACGACTCGATCTCAGCAGATGGAGAGCTCCTCCAAGGTCTTCCAGTCTGTGGAGCTCTGACCACAGAAGATTCGTGCACTGTTCCTGTTTTTGGAGGGCATGTTCCCAGTCCAAGGAATCCGAAGAGTCCAAGGTGAAAGGAACACAAAAAACGGTGCGAGCATTTCTGTTGAACCCTGTTGTGGCATCAGGAAAGCTTCGTCCATGCGGAGGCAGATTTTCGCTTGGCATTACTTTTCTTTCCTATGCTGGCTTGTTCCTCAGCCAGGGGTGCTGGTGAATGTTTGCAACATGATGCAGTAGGACCTTGGCCAGTCCTTCTCCATGCAGGTCATGTTGCGGCTTTTCAAGTCCTTCCATGCGCAGCCCCGTTTGGCTGCTTGGACTGTATGGCTTTGCAGATGTGAGATGGTGATACAGCTTGATGGCTCGTTTGGGAAGGGCAAGACACTCAATTATGTATTTCGACTTCGATAATCCACCCGTTGCACTTGGAAATTTTCTGTAGACTCTATATAGATGATATATATATATATATATGTAGATGTCTTATTTTGTCCATGAGGCAGTTGTGACGAAGACGTTGATGGTAGCCGCACAAGATTTGCTGCACTTCTTCATCGTGCTCGTCTCTGTGTATGTTTGCCTGGCAGTTGCTGCGGTGCTTCTTTTTGGGGAGGACTTGGAAGAGTTTTCTACGCTTGATCGCCCCTCACCATTAACAGTCTTGGGGGTCCTTGCTTAACTTTGCCAGCTTTCAGTTGTTCCACTTCACGTATATAGCTCTGAAAGGCTCAGCCATAACTTGCTTCCGAGCACTTTTGGGAGAATATGATTGGGACTCTTGGCTCTAGTGGCTGACAATGGCTGCCAGATGAACAGTCTTGCACATGATCTCTTATCTCTTTGATGCTTGCTGCTGAGGATGCGATGTCATCTATCGGCAGAGTACTGGCTGGTACCTGGCTTTGGTTTTTCGTCACTTGGAAAAATCATGGCAATCTATGGATGCTCGTGCGTGTGATAAACTACACAGTAGATGGACAAGCTTTCACACCCTTAAGAATCAAGGTCTGCAAGTTTCCTACATCAGGCATTTTATGATATTGAGGTTTCTGAAGAGCCTCTCACGCAACCCCCCCTGCCAGTACCATCTTGGCTGCCCACTTTTCTTCTCTGATTTGTTTTCTGCTGAACTCTTGGCCTGCAGAAGTTTGTGTCTTGAGATGGCAGAGCTATCTTGCAGGGGATTGGTTGTTCGCGGACAAACGGTAGGAAGATCTTAAGCAGGGCCATTGCTGTCATTGCTTCTCTAGGTTGTGATCGCAGATTTGCTGCTCCTGAACATGGTGTTGGCCATCCTCATGGATGCTTATCAAGCTGCTTGCAAAAGTGATCAGTTGCTGAGATTCAGAAGCGGAAGCTGTGATTTTTCACTCTGTTTTGCTCACTGAGGTGGTGAAATCAAAGGCCAGCATTATGACAACGGTACCGCACCAGATTTCTGAGATCCTTCGCCGACGACGCCTTGAAAGGGAGAAGAAGTGCGTGCCTTTCTTGAATGAATGCCGGTGCTGCCCAAAGTATGTAGCATAGGCGAGCGTGTTTTGCTTAGTCAGGTTCGCTTGAGTGACGTTTGGTATGCATATGGTGAGAAGTTCAGAACCATGGACGAGATGCTTGAAAGCAAGGCTGGAGGGGATGAAGGGGTTGTTTCTTCTGAAGCTGAGGCTTGATGAGTTGCAGCTTCTTGTTACTTTTTATAAGCCCCAACCTAGTAGCAACGGCCTCCAACATAGCGATGGCCTCCAACTTAGAAGCAATGGATTCCAACCTAGAAGCAATGCCCTCCAACCCAATAGCAATGGCCTTCAACCTAATCGCAATGGCCTCCAACCTTATAGCGATGGCCCCCAAACCTAATAGCGATGGCCTCCAACCTACCAAGCAATGGCCTCCAACCTAATAGCGATGGCATCCAACCTAAAGTGTGACTCCTGGCCAGCAAATGGTGAAGCCAGAAGACCTTGCGAAGCATGTGCCGAGCCTGACGGTAGCTCAAGCGCGACGCCCCTCGGCTCAAGCTCATGGCATGAGTCACGTCGTTTCGCTCTGCACTAAGGTACCTTGAACCACGCAATCACACAGAACAGGGACGAAAAGGGCATCAAGTATGGTATGAATGACATGCGGAAGCAATTGAAGATTTGCAATGGCCGCGCTGGCTCCTCAGTTCTTCGCCTCGAAGCACCAGAAAGGACTTATTTGCAAATCGTTCAGCTTGTAGGCCAGGATCCTGCAGGAAGAAGAGCCTTGGCAGCAACAGAGTTGCTAGAGCACCAGAGGTCACTGGAGTCTTTGCTAAGGAGGTGAAGTGTAGCGCAGTGATTGGGGATGAAGCGAAGCCCTGTAACACAAGACGGTCCTGTTCTATTCTTTGTTGGAGGGTGAGGTTTTTTGTGTGCCTAGACATGTTTCATATGGCTCGGCAAGCCCCAAGTTCGCCCTCAGAAGGCTTGTCCTCCAGGTCTGCGGAAGCTGTTTTGTTAGGACCTGCATACACTGCTGCCTAGTGACAGGCAGATCTTGGTGAGTGCTGATCGGCCAGAACAGCTAGCTTGGTCATGGGAACTGAGCGAGGTCTTGGTCATCCGCCGTGCCTTGGAAGAAGCACGCGATGCATCTGGTGCACTTCCAAGCCCATCACATCTGGGTCTGGACCTCGTGCAAAAACCGTCACCTAATCAGTGACGAAATTCACTTTCTAAAAGGTTTTTTGAACTTCGACTGTTAAGGCCTCAAAGAGAGCACGGTTCGGATCATCGAGATTCTCAAGCAGAGTGTGTTTTGTCCGAATGGATGGTTGTCTGATAGCTGTGAAGTCACTCGTGTCATGGAGCTATGGACCTCACTCTGACCAAGGTTGGGGTGCTGCAGGACCAAATCGAGAAGGCAACATACAAGCTTGCAAACACATGGCATCCAGGGAAGCTTGTACCAAGGTCCTGGAGGAGGAGTTCCAGGTGGCTGGTCTACGTCAAGATCAAATGCAAGCAGATCAACGCTCCTCAGCACTCTTTGTCTGGTTGGTCAGTTCCAAACCATGCCAAATTTGGGTTTGGTTTGCAAACTATCGAAACATAGTTGAAGCAGGAGTCTGGCAACCTGCTGTAGAGGTTTTTTGAACTTGCTAAGGGGAGATGCGAGTGTGGCTGAGCTGCATGAACATGAAAGGCAGGAAACATGGATGGAGAGCGGCGCCTGCAATGGCTGAGGTGTGCCCATGATGCCAAGGCCCTCGGACATGCTTTGACAGTTGTGGGAGTTGGGCTTGACTTGATGGCTAATCAACAGTCAGAACTCGTAGGTGAAAGAACGTCGAATCGCACACTAACAAGCAAACTTCTTAGCACAGAATGAGTTAAGCACATTCCTCGTGTATGCCAGGGGAAGCTTAAGACGATGCTGCATAGGCTAGAGGCTGGGTGCGCACCAGATTCCCCTTGCACAAAGAGGTAGGTCAGCCTTTGCTGAGTGTCTTTCTCCTTGATGGCAGGGCTTAAGTGCAACCCTCAATGAGCACGTGACGAAGGACACGTTGCGCGTTGAGTTAGCTTTTATCCCCTTACTGCAAGCAAAGAAGGGAAATAGTTGAGCCACAGTGCCACAGGATTAGTGGAACTTTTACTTTACCACACCTTGCACACCTTTGCTCGCTCACGTATTCAAGACATGACATGCTGAATGCACTGGCTGCAGGAGCAGCTTAACTCTGTCTTTGGCGCTCGTGGGGAAGATGGAGTAAGTTTGGTCTCTAGCCTTCAAAGCCGCTCGAGCTGCAAGTAGCTGAGTGCTGCGCGGCAGCACTGGTTCAAGTGGTATCACGAGTTACGTCTCTCAGCAGAAATCCTTTTTGTGCTGAGGATCTTTGGCAATCCTTTCTGAGCCCACTAGCTGCCAGATCGCCTCATAGAACTGCCCAGGATACCACAGTTCAGTGGCTTCCAACTAACTTTGAATGATTCTCCTGCATTGAGTCTGCAGGGTTGAGTTCAAAACCAGAGAATTGAAGGGGCTGGCTGTTATTGTTCGCAAGCCATCGGCATACTGTACTTCATTACTGCAGACTCTATTGTACACAGGGAGCATGGCCCAAAGTGGCCCTGCAGCCGTCTCAAGGAGCAACAAGCTCTGGGGTCGGCCAGGGAGCAACGAGTTCTGGCTGAATCCAAGGGAAAGCAGAGATGCATTGTTGTCAAGCAAGGCCCCTTTCTCAAGACTCCAAGTCCAAGTGTAGAAAAAACTAATGCCCCATGGCCAAAACAGGGCCCCACTATATAGCCAGCTCCTTCCTTTCCTTTTGTGAAGTTGTCTAGACAGAGGTCTCTCAGCCCATGTCTGTACGCAGGCTTCAGCACATCTACGCGTGGCAGCTTCAAGGACTGGGCCATGAATCCACAGATTTGACTCAATGGAATTCAGTCCCGTTACTATTGACTATACTTCACAATGGGGCAAGTTCTTTGAGAGTTCAGTCAGCTTTCTTGGAGTACCTGCCCATTCATGTGTGTGACCAGGGGTCTGACATATCGGCAGAACCCTCCTTCTGGCCAGATCCTCAGAGCTGATGGTGTCCCGCTCCCACCACAAGACTCTGGGCTTGGCAGGGCCCATGTCCCGTTCCTTCATCGCTGCTATTCATCCTTGACTCGAAGGTGCAACGGGACGTGTCAGGTTTTCTTTGCATTGAAGTCTATTTATACAAATTATCCAATACTATATATCTATTTTCTCACGATTGACAAGCACGAGCGAGATGTGAGTTCGAGATTTTCATTGTCAGTTTGAAGGTTTAGTTTTGGGTCTTGGGCAGGTAGTCGGTATAGGAGCATGCCGCCAACAGTGCATCCTCACCACACTGCTCACCAGTCGGAGTGATTTCGGCTCAGCTCAGTCAAGAGGGCTGGGCTGGACTGTAGGGGTTGTGCAAGCCATTGGCGTGACTTCTTTTAGCGTTGCTGGCTCGCATTGTGAGTGTGAGTTGCTTGGTCTATTTCCCAGTCATACACAGCCAATCAATGGCATTTACTAAGAGCGCTAAGAGTTGGAAGTTGGAAGTGTGCTGGCTGCCCTCTTTGGACTTGCATGTCTTTGCAATTGCTAAGATTTGAACGTTGTGGAAGAATGCTGCCCTCTTTGGATTTGCGTGTCTTACTGTCGCTCATAGATGAAGTTGGGACTCAGGTGCCAGCCTGCTTGCACAGACCCCAGGACAAGCTTTGCTCCTTGGACCTGTAAGCTGCATCTTGCATATATTTATACGTGTGCAGTTGTTGCAACTGTTACAACTGTGGCCTCGGCTTGTTGCCAAGGAACAGTAGCCATGGCTGGAGTGGGACAGACAACTTCCTCCACCTACTCGTTTAGCTCCTCGCCCAAAGCTGTGGGCACTCGCAAAAAGTATCGAGAGCCAGGAGATGTTGAACCAGGCTTGGACCGGCCGGGGACCACCCAGTTGCTGCTTAACGGGACCGCGTAGCACATGTCACCTATATATCTATATTTGCAGGGAAGTGGCTGGCTAGACTTGTCAATGTGCTTAGCAGTACGGCAGTAACGTCACTTTCCAACCACCCTGAAGGCCTGTATCGTAGTGCAGCTTGGCCGCAGCCGCGCATGTCGTGCCGGGGATCGGTGGCTGCTGAAACCGGCTCGAACTTCTGCCAAGGTGAAGGAGACATGCATCTCCTGGGACAAGCGAGTGCATAGAGGCAACACCTACAGCATGTACACCCAGAATGCCATCAAAGAGGCCCGACATTCAGGAGTGGAACTGGTGAAATAAAGAATTCAATAGGGCCCCCAGAACGCAGGCGATTGAGACTGCCCAGAAGCAGCAGGGCGCAACGAAGGCGGCGAGAAAGCGAAAGCCCAAGGAGTTCAGTGCACCTTCTGTTTGGGCACGTCAACTGTTGATGGGACCATCTCATACTTGGAGGTCAGCTTTAGGCGATAATGGTCGCATCATGTCGGCATCCAGTCACGACTGAAGGAGAAATCAATTTTCGACATGCCACTGCCAGAGCACGAGCGAGTCCCAGTGGATCTCACCCGCCATCTTGTGGCCAATGAGCAGCCACCCCAGGTGGCAACCTCGGCAGTTGATGTTTTTCCAATCAATGTTGTTCAGCATATTTCACCCTCGCTCATCTCCGCCGAGATGGAAGTGGTAGAATCTCAGACTGATGAGTTCCTGCCGGAGCCGCCGCCAGAGCCATACCAGCCGCAAAGGACTTTGTCTTCTGGTCCGGGACATTTGTCATCCTTGGACACAGAGATGTGACACATGCATAAACCTACACGCCTAGATTGATTAACTACTTGTGTGACGTTTTCCCACTAGACAGTTTGAGCACGTGAATGGACTTCACCGGCTTTCATTCAAAGTATATATATATATATTTATTGGACTCGCGCAGGGACTAACTTGCAAGAAGTTGGTCTAATCTCTACTGGTCAGCAGGTGTCCGGACGTTGAAATCTAAGATCAGCATAGATCAGCTGGCCAGGGAAAGAGTAGGCTACGCGGCATGGTGTGTTAATGTCCAGGGAAGCGTCAAGAGACGAGGCCTTTTCTTGTTGCACTGGCTGCAGGACTGGGATCGATGCACATACGCAGGTGGAGGACGGCACGTGGCCAACCGCCGAACCGCTTCACGTTGTCCATAGCAAACTCTTGGCCCGTCAGGACGGTGAACTCTTCGACTTTGATCGAGAAGTTGAGCCGATCTTGGATGTACTTGTGCCTGGGCAGCACGGGGTCGCCCTGGTTTGGGGTTCATGACATTTCCGGATCAGGTGATGAAGACTCTGGAGCAATCCATCATGGAAGTAGAAGAAGAGCACGAGCTGGCCGCGATGAGCCAGTTCAAGCAAGCTTGGTATGAGAGGCTGGTATCCTCGCCGTGTTACGGTTTCGCCACTGGGTCATGGGGGAGCTTGGAGCTTGGACCATTTGAGGCAAAGAAAGAACTGTGCAGCTGAGCGGGAGCAAGTAGAGGAGGACAGCAGAGATGTGGCAAAGACATCCCAACACCAGACACTTGAGGATTCTATAGAGCTTTTGACTGCGGAGAGGGGGATCCATCAGGAAAGCTTTTGTTGCGCAGGAGTGGGTGCGGTGGCACGAAAAGCAGATGGTTTTGGCCAAGCAAAGGGCACAGAAAGAAGAAGATGCGCGAGTGCTGCTGAAGCGCCCTGGCCAAGTGAGATCGCATGAATGAAGACATTCTGCCGCATAAGGCTTCGTTAAAAACCCCCCCTCACAAGGGCCACAACACTATGACTATGACTCATGACCTAAGGATCCAAGCAGTCAATGCTGCGAAGGAGCACCTGGCAAACCTGGTGCCTAATGCGAAAAAAGATCTGAAAGAGCTGGCTTTCCCGGATGCCAACGGCTTGGAAATCCAAAGGCCGCACCGTTGGGCTTTGTTGTTGCGAATCATTTGTAGTTTTGACGCTTTTGAACTTATCGTATGCATTTGTTTCAACCTCCCCTGAGGCACTTCCTGCCAAATCTCTTTAAGAAAGTTCAGGAGGAAGTCTCATCTATGAAGCAGGCACAGCTCCAGGCCGAAGCTGTAGCTGAGCTCCTTGAGTGTAGCTGTAGCTTTTGTGATTACTTCTGGAGAAACGCACTGACCAAGCTGAAATGCCACAGCAAGCATCCAAAAGCAACTTCTGTTCCTCGTTCTTCCAACCGTTTCATGGAACCGTGACCCAGTGCACCAGTCAGTCTTTGGGCCGTCGCCAGATTGATGCTATCGCTGCAGAGGGCGTGGCCCAGCAGGCTGCCACCTGGGCGGAGAGTTTGCAGCGGCACAAGGCAAAGTCTGCTGAGCTGCAGAAGCTTCGCCTCGAGGAGATGCAGAAGCTTCTGCAGCAGAGAAGGGAACAGTGACATTGGGCAGTGGGAGGGACCGGAATTTTTCTTTGGTGCAAACATTCATCCATATTTGTCCCTTTTCTTGCTGTTCGGGTGTCTCTACTAGAAGACATGGCCTCCAACCTACTAGCTTCTTGCTACTAGTAAGTAGCTTCTTGCTCCTAGTAGCGATGCCCTTAATTCTAGTTGCGATGCCAGGAGCTACTAGTAACATCTAGTAAGTAGTAGCTTCTTGTTACTACTGATGTTTCAGCTCAGGATCCGCCGTGGTAAGATCCGAATCCTGATCGACGACGGCAGTGGAAACCAGGTGCCAGTTGGACCTATCCAACTCTCTTCAGCTGATAGCATCGAAGAGCTTCAGCAACGTGTGTCACTTGCCAATATATTCCTGAACCAACAATTAGTCGATCTGTGTGCATGGATATTGGCTTCTTCCGAAATTTGCGATGTACGTCGTTTGGAAATCCTACTGCAAGCTGAGGTATGCCTGGCTTCAAACCAATGAGCCCAAGATTGCTGCAGGATGGCCCTATGGAGTTGAGTGGCTTGGTGGTGCCCTATAAATCATGGCCGCCAATTGCTCATAGCAATGTTAATAACCAAAGGGCAAGCGTCCTAAGTTGTGCAAGTCGGGAACCCGCTCAGAAGGCAGCCATGTTCCGAAGGGGTGTTCCGACCGGGTCGCATGCAAGGCTCCGTCTGGGCGGTGTGGCGGTGCAGAAGACGCAGGAGCTCTTTGAAGCGAAGCCAGGGCAGATCTCCATGGGGCCGCAGGCAAGGAACCATGGTGCAAGTGGGCGCTTGTGAGTCCTACTATTGTTTCATGTTTGGTGCTACTTTTTCCCACACCAGCCTTGCTAGTGCAAATTCATGCAAACGTCATATGGTCAGAAGTCCCAACTCATCCTCCTTTGCTTCGCAGCGCAGCAGTCTGATCCAGGAGCCACCGCCGCCACCAGAACCAGAGGGGCAAGAGGAGGAGGTGGACCCGGAGGTCTGGACATGGAACAGACGCCGTTTGCAATCCTCGCTGTGGGTATATCACAGTATATTACTGTTCTATGATACTATGTGCCACGTATTTACAACGCGTCGTAGTTGAAGTCGGCCCAAACCTTGATTTGAGAATTGGCTGCTGTCAAACAATCTGTTGTCGGCCACTATGCACAAAGGTCCCAATAAATGAAGGGCTGGCCCCGCTGGAAGCCAGGCAAGCTGAAGCTGAATTTGGGGTGTGGCTTCCAAAGGGAGTTCCACTTGACGTGGCCCGGCGCACAAAGAATGAGATCAAAGAGGCCTATTTTGTGGCCAAGCAAGGGTTGCAGGCACAATTCTTTTGGTCAAGCACTAAGGCCCCAGCATGTACATGAAGTGAGTGTGGCTGGCTTCACTTCTGCAGGTGGTTGGTCCATAACCATAGTACATAATACAGTAGTAAGAGCCTACAACCATACAGCTCTAGTAGCCCTACAAACTATATACAGCTTTGGTGAAACATCACAAAAGTGGTGGAAGTCCAGTGGAAGTGATGTCCGCTTTGTAGTCTCACCCTGACCTCTTTGACCTTGGTCGCTGTGAAAATGTTTCTCGCATGACTTCTGGCACTGATGGATCACCATGGAGGTGGTTGTTCTGTGCCAACATCATCAGGAAATGGCCCCAGTTCGCTCTTGTTGATGATTCCGCCCATTCTTTGCATACGCTGCTTCTTGAGCTTCCAACCTTGTGAATTGCATCAATCTTCCTGGCAGGTGCTCTAGAAGGAGGCGCGTCAGCAACGCCAGAGCAGTGGATGGGCGAGCTAGCATGTTATTCTTCCACAGTCCTATTTTGACTCCTAATTGTGGATTTCCACGCTGGAATCACAAGACGGTGGAAATCACAAGAAGGCACTCTCAGCCTTGGAGCTCCAGCATGGGTAGCTGCACTTGTGGGCTGAGATGCCTCCTACAGGCCAGATCCACCTGCCCATGGCCAATGGAGTGAAGATGCTTGGGCTTTTGATCCGGAGCGATCTGTGGCCTGCAGCTGAAGATGACAAGTCATCGGGGTCGAGCACGGGCAACGAAAGACACACAGCACGGTCATCCTAGATTCCTAGCCCTGCCAGCTATCCTGCACTGTTCGGCCGCAAGGACCCTCGAGGGACATGGTTGCGGGCTTTTGCTGGGCTATCCCTGGCCCCGTGCGGCTCCAAGACAGTAAGAGGAGTGGAATGCCTCCTAGTAACACCAAATAAGCCCAATGGGTCAGAGTGTACCTCACTTCGGTTGGAGTGGTTCCAGACCTTTGTTCAATGAGCAACTCTCGGATTCCGAAGAGTTCAGTGTAAGGGAATGCTTTGGGATGCTTTCACAGATGTTTGCACGCCTTCATTCTCGCTTCCTTGGGGCGATTGATGGTTGATGGAGACTCGTGGCCCTCTTTAGGGCCTCACAAGGGAGGATCATCCAAAGTTGACTACTACCGAGAGTTGCTGCTGCCTTTGGGCTCGAAGTCCCCTGTCAGAGCTGCGCATGGGAATGCATCACAAATCGAAGACATGCAGGAGAAAGCAACCAATGTTCGATTAAGGTTCAGATGCTTTACCAGGGTTGGGACACTCTGAGCCAGCCCAGAAGCTTTCTCCACTGCTCTGGTGCAAGATCTTCAGATGAAATGCTGTTACTTGACTGCATGGTGTTGATGATGTTGTTCAAGTGTGTGCAGGTATAGACTTGCCGCTTTTGGCACGGGAAGTCAGTGAATTTATTTGCCATTTCATGTTGGAGCAACAAGTGGATCTTCCATGGCTCAGGTGGCTGCGGGGGAGGTCAGTCATGGGAGCAAATGCTGGTGGTGATGAGTGGCCGGGCTGGAGTTAGGAGGGCAGTGAGACTGTGGGAGCCGGTGATTCCTTCCCTATATTTCTCTCTATTGATGCCACATGCATCCACATGCTACATCTACAATCAGCGGAGTGGCGGTATATACGTTTGACAATCTGTTAGGTTTACTATGGTGGGGAGGGGTTTAGTCACCAGTGAAGCATGGGGCCCAGGACATTCAGAGCGCCTGGATTTTGCAGATGAAGATGCTTGGTTTCAGCAGCTCGACAACTAAAGCCAGGTAAACGGAGAACACATTCTTGGTTTGGTTCTTTTGCTTCTGAGTGCATTTGGTGATAAGTTCTTTGACCTCCGGACCGAGGCATCCGGATTCGAGGTCGTTTCCGACCGATTCCCCGCTCACAGAGCGAGGCCAGATCCGATTTCTGGGTTGCTTGACGCTGGTGTTTTGGGGGTTGCCAGGCAAGAGCCTGGCGAAAGTGCAGGGTCGGATGCTTGCGGAAATGTGTGAGAATACGGGCACACCGCAGCTTGTCAGATCTTTTGAGTTGTGCGATGCTTGTGGGTTGTTTGATGGGATCATTCTTCAACGCTTGGGTAATCAGCAATAGATGGGTATGAGATGCAAGCCTGAGATGCAAGGATTGATGTGATCATCACCTCTCCCTTTGTACGCTGCGTGCAAACGGCGATTGCGGTGAGAGAGGTCTTGCCGAATAGGAGAGGTGACAAGGCGTGTTGAGAAGAAGGGCACAGCGGGTGGGATATGTAACACCAGCATCGTAACAGTTACAGTAAGGGCACACATTTCGGAGTTGTGTAGTCGAGTAAAGGGCGGTAATAAATTTTTGTAGGGCAAACTGGGCTTATTCAGTCTGAATCATGACCCAGTCGTAGGCTTTTTTCAATCCAATATTGGCAGTGTTTTGTTGTCGTCGTATGTGTTTGCCGTATGCTGCTTGGCCTGTTCATGAGGCATCATTCTCAGGTTATGGTTGAGGCACTGTTTTGGCGGCAAACGGGCTCAAGTGACTGAAGGCTTCGCCTGTTCTTTTACAAAGTCTTCCACTTCAATGTGCCCAGTGTTTGTCCTCTTTGAGATCTCTTTGACCCAGAAGAGGCTTCGTCCATTCTCGGTTTTGTCTCAGGTGCCGCTGCTGATTGATGTGGAAGTCTCGGAGGCGGCTTTTGTAAAAAGATCAGAGCGTTTTGGTTTGGACAGGGGGGGTGGCCGCGTAGCCTTGGCCCAGACTGCAGGTCGGGATCTACAAGAAACCTTCAGGTATCTCAGATCCCGCGTGGCTTAGCTGAACGTAACGGTCAGATGATTGATGATGTTTGGAGGGGAGAGCCAACCGATACATAGTACTTGAAATGATTCAGGAGATGCATTGTGTTCATTATTGTTCTGTTGTGGCTGGGATTGATTTTGTCAGCTAAATGCAAAACGTCGAGCAATATCACAAGGCCTGTAAACTTGACAACGCAGACCTCGTATTGTTGCCAAGAAGCCATTTCAATGTGACAGACCGTTCCAATCCTGCTCGTCATGGATTTGGTCCTTTTGCAGTGCGCCTGCAAGCCCACAGAAATGCAACGTCACAGACACATCAGTGACACTGAAGAGCAAGGACAGTAGCAACTTCCGCCTGACAAACTGCACCATACTCGCACACACACTCACTGCTCTGCCCAGGCTGCTTCGTTCCCACTTGGAGTTTTGCAGTCGGCGTCGGACCTTCGCACAAGTGGCCGCCATTCCAGACCTCACAGGCGCACGGAGGTCGACACGGAAAGATGTGCAGCGGCCGGGACGCTTTTGGCATGGCGGTGGCACAGTGAGGGTGCCTGGGGGTCAAACTAGGACGTGTGCTTGTGGGCGGAAGCATTTTTGGATGGAGATTGGGCTCATGTGTCAGGAGTGGAGCTGCTTAATGCTGACGCCTTTGTGTAGGTCTCAGTGCGATGAGTTATATAGCTGGCCATTGCACTCATCGTGCAGCGTTCTCCCCTAGGAAGTGCTTGGCAGCCAATGAACTAACATGGTGCTAAGGTGGGCATTCCGCCACCCTTCCCGGAAAAGCGCCGGGCTGCACATGTGAGGGGCCTCTACCGCTTTAGCGTGACTTGGAAGCGAGGGGCTTTGGAGATGTCAGGAGTCCAGGGGCTGAAGGAAGGAATGGAGCTTGGTAGTGTTCGAGGATAGCTTCTTCCAGAAGCTACTAGGAGCAAAGGGCATCGCTACTAGGAGCAAGGACGCTACTAGGGGCTCTGGCATCGTTACTGGGAGCAGGAGGTAGTATAGTGTTTGTAACATAGCAATACAATACATATATAACACATGTTACTGTACGTGCAACCCTCTCCAGAGACAAGTGCCAGGAATGGATGGAGCGCGGTCGTCAAGCGCAGCTCAATTTCCTCATCGTAACGCACCAGGAGAACTTTCATTTTGTCAGAAACTAGTAACAAGTGCCACGCTAGTAGTAACAGGTGCCTTACTGGTAGTAACAAGAAGCCATTAGTAACAA